AATTCTCAGGTAGCATATTATCCCTTATATATTGGTTGTTTAACTTTTTTATATCATTATATAAAAAAACAAAGTATACCTGGAAGAAAGCTTAAAATAATATAGCTCAAAAGAAACATCTATTAAAAGTAAGTTATCGTATTTAACAAAGATGACTTGTGCATGAAGGAAATGATTACATTAAATGTTGAGAAAATCTTGCAATAGATACATAATCATCGGTGTACTTAGTCAGAATTTAACAGTTTTATACTTGAATATGCAGAAAAGAATTTGGTAAGAAAGAAGCATCAAAATGTGGCGTGACTTTAGACTGTAATATATAAAAATATATTTAACACCAAGTTATCGTGTGTAGTTTCACTTGTTACCCACTAGATGGCTAAACTTTCATTTGGAACAGCTAAAATTTGTAGTTCACTAGTTCATGTACATTATGATGCTACTGTACAGTTCTTTACTGTATGTTAATAGCCAGTTTTTGTATATCAACTAGATAATCATTGATCAAACTATATAAAATGTGCTGTAATTCCCACAATATTATATTTAGGCATATTATTTAAAACGTAGCTTGTGATCTATTAAATTCATCCTGACAGATTTTTTTAAATTTCTTATTATCTAATTACTAGTTATTCAGATTTAAAAAACGAAAAGAAACAGAGTGGTCCAATTTATTTAAATTCAGCTTTTACTGCACATCTAGTACTATATTAGTTCGTGCAGCGTATACATAGCGTTTTATCTCTTTATCAAGCTAAATCTGCAAATAAATTGAAAGAAAAAAATCACCTTCCAATATCATATGTTTGTGCACATGGGAAAATTTGTTACAATCTAAGAATGTAATATCAGATTTCTTAAGATTTTTTAACTTACAGCTATAAAAGGAAGGGCATTAACCTTTAGGTGTTTAAAATTGAGATCTCTAAGTAATTAATATGAATTAAACGTACAACTATTATAGAAAGGACATTACATTTTCGGTATTTAAGATTGAGTATTTAAGTAATCAATTTCAATTAAACTTTTTTTCGTCCTAGCTTAAACATACAAAATTACTTACATTTGAAAGTTTTCTTTCGTCGATTCATAACTGTAGTTAAAATACATCAGGTAATATCCCCACTCTAAGTAGGGAAGAAACATAGCATTAGACATAATCTCTAATGAACTGCGGGTTGCAGAGAGCATAAAAGGACATATGATTCTACATTAGGAAAAATATTCACACATTATTGATAATATTCTGGAAATTCAGTTACATTTTTGTTATATTATAACTTATGCTTTTGAACTTGAGAAAACACAAGAAAAATAATTTATTGTGTTAGATCTCGTTTGATTTCAATCATTAGACCTTCTCTGTGGTTAATGTGTTCTAAGAACTTGTGACGACTGAATTGTTTGCTGTTTTAGACTAAAAGAACAAGGATTTACTGATCATTAGAAGAATGTGATCCTATTTTATGGAGACACTTTTGTTCCTTTAACTTGAATGATGTTTATTATATTAGAAGTATTTCGTGTATTTACCGAACGTAGTCGACCCTTTCTTTAATCTGCGCTCGGATGTTATTTATATACAGATACAAAAATATAAGAGGGGGGGTTTCTTTTTTTTTGTTTGGTTTGAAAAAGTGTAAAGTCTGAGCTTTACAATCACGAACCACACTTTCTAATAGTTCTTATCACTTATGAGATAATTAGCCGATGACAATAATGGTATTTCGCAAGTTAGCAGAAACCACCTTGCGTAAATATTGAATTTATCAACATAAAATGCATTTAAAAAATCAGCAGTCGAAAGCAAGTGCTTTCATCTCTACAAAATGCATTAGTAGACGTTTGAATATCATTTAAAACAGTGGTTCTCCACAGCTGATCCAAAATGCATTAGTAGACGTTTGAATATCATTTAAAACAGTGGTTCTCCACGGCTGATCCAAAATGCATTAGTAGACGTTTGAATATCATTTAAAATAGTGGTTCTCCACGGCTGATCCAAAATGCATTAGTAGACGTTTGAATATAATTTAAAACAGTGGTTCTCCACGGTTGATACAAAATGCAGGTCACGGAGGAGTGTTTTTTTTTGTTGTTGTTTTTTTGCGTTGGCAAGCGAAAGCGGCTAGGGTAGTAACGATAGGTTGTTAGCGGACAAAAAAATTTGAGAACCACTGACTTAAAACAACTTATTGATAAAAGATTACTCGATTTATTGTTTTTTTTGTTTAGCTTAAATCTATTGTAGCAAAGTATTGGACTTAAAAAATCCACTAATTAATGAAGACCACTTTACATCTTTCACTTAGATACTTATATATTTTGGGCCAAAATGTGATTGGGGTGGTGGAGGTAATAATAAGAAAAAGTAAATAAGCATTATTAGACTTCATAATCTTGGATGTTCAATAATATGTAAAAAGAAATATAAGTTTTAGACACAATCTCATAATTACAGGTCATTTTATTTCTCACTGGCCAAAGTTAAAAACATTCTTAAAAGTGGGGGAATTGCCATCTGCCCATCCCTTCTCCAACTCCCCTCGAAATTCCTCTATTATCTATACTTATATATACTCAACATTGGTGAATTTGTCGAGAAAAATGAAACGAATCTGCACGAAATAACTAAGGTGTTTTTCTGTGTAAAGCTATGACTGTTTAAATATTTAATAGTGTGTTTAAAATGGCACACACTTTCTTAAAGGTTGAATTATAACTGTTACACTCTGCTAACTAACTCAACAGAACAGTTCAATTAAGCTTCGTCATTCTTAACATTCACTGTAAACATTTCAGTTTAATAATGTTATTCATAAACGTTTTATATATTTTGTTCTCTATTGACAAGAGTAGCTCATCATAAAAATGTTAATTCTATTAAATTAAATTTTATATAGAATTAGTTTATATTGATGTTTAAAGCAATCATTTGTTTCAGGCTCATAACCCTTCCTATCGTTACTCCCAGTCATCATTTCCATCAATAAACAAGAGTATCTCAGCAAGTCTTAACGCCTCCAGCGCTACCTCGTCTCCTGCCAGGTTAAGAAAACAATCATGCTGGGCATGGACGTTGTTAATTGGAGAGCCAAAAACTACTACTTGCCGGAGAAAGGGTTTTGCTGTTTTGATTGCCTTGTTATTGTTAGTAGGAGCGGGACTTATAGCAGGCCTTTATTTCATTGTCGGTAAGTTTGAACCTGTGTCTATTATTGCTTAAAATATAAATAAATAACTGAGATGAAACATACTTAACTATTCTATCATTAAAAACAATAACAATAAATAAATGCACACTATAATTACCATACGAATACCTTGTGTTGAATAGACCATGATCAACTGATACCGTTAAATTTCATGATAACTCTGTAATTCTTATTTTGCCATAATCCTTACGTGATGACAAAGATATGTTCTGGAAAGAGTTGGCACCTATCTGAAAAAAAAATTAAAAAAATCTGCTGCTAATCGTGATTTGAATCTCTCGTTAGACCTAAAAAATTACACAAATTGCTCTAAATCCGTCAAATTAGTATGTAGCTATTAAAGTAAAATAAATCTGTAAATCACAATATCTTCTGTATAAATTTCCTTTAATTCACAAAAAAAAATTTATCAAGCTATATTTAACGAGAATACTCTATAAATCCTGATATATAGATATTATCTGATAGCATTAATCACATGTGGTTTGAAATATACCACAATTTTAATAACGTGTTTCACCCATGATATCGTTTTTGCTAGAACAGTTACTGGCGATAATGCTACTGTTCCACAAACACTAGCACTTTTAGCCATGTTCTTACTCTGGGTCTCAAGGCAACTATCTATCTTCTCTCTATTTCTACACTACTGACATGAAAAATCTTACTGCTAGTGAAGACAAGCGAATGGTGTTATAAATCTTACTTACAGTTATTTTCTTCAGTAGACATCCGGGTGATTTAATCATTAAATGCAGAGTGAAACTGTTTTAATGAAAGTCTTGCACAATAAAGCTTGGGGTGGTTGGAAATTGCACCTATCTTTAATTTTTCTTTCAGGGATGTTATAAAAGAAATATGATTCAGTTTGTCTAATACTAATCATTTCCCTCAACATGTTGAGAATAGTGTGTAATTACGTAACTGTTCTCTCTGTATTAATCACAACACTATTCTATTTAAGATGACTATTAAAAAGCTCGTAGTTGAATCCAAGTTCTAGACTGCGGTCTAATTTAATGGTTACTGCCTGGCTTAAACATCCTGCTGGTTTTCTTTCGGCGCTTTTCATTAAGTGTCTAAGGTGGTCAGCACGTTTACTTTGAAAAAAAAATAGAGTGCTCAAAGTAGGCGTAACGTCTGAATATGTTATGAGCATATCCTGGTCGTAACGGAAAATAATTGTATAGGTCATTGGTTGGGCAACATTTGGAGTATTGTGTTCAATCTTGGGTGCCCCAGGAAGGACGTAGAATTATTTGAAAGGGTTCAGAAGAAAGTTACTAGAATGATACCTGAGATTGAAAGGCTATCTTACTAGTACAGGTTAAGATCTCTGAAATGGTTTCCTATTGAAAAAAAAAGAGTTAGAGGCTCAAAGGAATTGACAGTGTTGATATATCATCTTTATTCATACTTAACTGTGAGAATGGTGGGACTATGGAACACAAATGTCAATTTTGACAGGATAGGAGTCATCGTCTGCTAAAAAAAGCTTTATATTTCTAACAGGGTGAATGTCGTTCGGAAACGGTTGTCTTCAAATGTTGTGGATGCAGAGGCTTAAAAAATAGTTGAATGATAAGGGCTGGCTTCGGGTGTTTTATTGTTACTTTAAAGCTTAATTTAGTGGACGGAACGGTTTAGATGGACCAAAGATTCTTTGTTTTGTTGTCCTTATGTATATATGTATACATATTTCAAAATGTTAAGCTTGAGTAGAAAATTGTTGTTTCTTTAAATATCTAAAAGTTTAAGTAATAACATTATACTAAACTCCGATAAAGACAGACATACTAAAGTAGCTAGCCAACATATCTGAATTTCTGATTACACACAAAATATTATTATTTAATGTCTTTGTTGTTTTTAATGTCATTGTTTTTTCATTCATATTTTTGCTTTAGATCATGCCAAGTCATTTCAGAGGGAAGGTCATTATGGTCACTTGAAACAAACTTGTAAGTTTGACAATTCTTATTTGCTATATTTGGCTAGAGCCTTGCAATATTAGTTTTGTGCCTTCTGATTTGTTTATTCCAACGTATTTTAAAATATAAAGAGTAAAAATTATAGTCACTGGAGATCAAACCAGTATTCAAGTAAGATATAAATATTTAAATTCAGTAGATAGAAGAAAAAACTAGTTTGCAAAACTTAGATAATTGTATCTTCAACCTCTAGATTTAGTAGTTGTGCGTGTAATGGTAGTAATAAAAGACAAGATTTGTCTCTAACAAATTCTAGTAACAGCAGTAAAAACTAAAATGGTAGAATGTACCTAATAGCTAATGTTAACAGTGATAAGTAAGCTTAAAAATGAGAAGACCCC